GACTTAAATAAATTTAAAAAAACAACTCTTTATTATTTTGATTTTGAGTTTGTAACTTGATAACAACGAAATCAGATCATTTCTGTAGTACTTATATGCCTCTATTAGTAGTCTAATAGTAGATTGGGTTAAATGAAACTGACTGGTAACCTGGCAATACCAGATGGAGTTTAGCGTCTATGTTTCGCACTTTTTTAAAGATATTTTTAAGCATATTTTCACACCAGATCTTAGTGGGATTCGAACCCAGACTCTCTGTTCCATTAAATGATAAGTTGAATTTAATTTTATGACATTCATTCGACTGTGTATGTAATATATCCTGAAGATGTGTTTCATAACATCAACTATAGTTACCCAGCTCTAGCTGGAACCAGAGTGAATTATGTGTTTAGCTGTTTTAAAAAAGTATTCACTGCTTAGATAGAAATCATTTCACGCTTTATTAGGGTTCCATAATTGACTAGCAGTTAAAAACATGTGGTAAATAGTGGTAGAAAGGACCTTAGACCCTAAGTGAGTTGGTCAATTGGACTAACTGCCTCAGTAACCTGACTTAAGTTATATTAGTTAGCAACAATAACAATTAGTAAAACAATGGCATATTGAATGTGCCCTAAGAATTTTTCGACTGCTAAGGTTGTTAAATTTTAGGAATTAGTGAAAATATACATAAAAGTAATTAAAAAAATATAACAATTTATTAGAAATGGACTAGAAATAAAACTAGAAGAGAACTTTCTATGCAAAAATTCCTGACTGCAGAAAATAAAAAATTATAAAGGATTTCTTATGAAGAGCGTAATTGAGTTAACGGAGAAGACTGCGATAAATGTAGGAAATGGAAATATAGAAATAGTCTATGCAAATATTTTAATAGCAATTCCAGGAATGAGACAAGCCACAATAAATTTTTTGACATAAATATTAAGACAAAAAATATGAAAAGCATTCCTGCCAAACACTCAAAATGAAATGCCTTTATCCGAAACACTGCCACACTTTACTAATCCGTTTGCAAATATATGGGTTTAAAACGAAAAGATAAATTTTATTTATATTTATGTTTTCCAACAGAAACAAATCAAAATAATAAACACTCATTTCTTATGTGACTTAAGTTATGCTTAAGTCAAGATTTACACTTAAGGAATACTTAAGTTTGCTTTAAGCCTTAAGTCATGGCTATAAAATCAGCCCTTAATCACATATAATTACCTGTTTACCAGAATGAATTCGATTTCTTCTTAATACAGGGGTGCTTCCAGTTGTTATCCATACGCCGGCTAGCGTATTCGAATATACTTCATTCTCTTCAATTAAACCTTGACCTTTTTCATGTACATATATTCCACCGTGTTGCCCATGATGTATTTTATTATGCCTAACGATCGGATCACTATTTGTTCGTATTTGTATACCAGCCAAAGCATTCCCATATATATTGTTATGTTCTATTAATCCTCGTCCCTCGCCAAATATATATACACCACCTTGATGACCGTTATAAATTTCATTTTTTCGTATAGTTGGATTACTATTTGATGTGATCCATACGCCTATTGATATAAGATTAATTTAAAATTATATTTTATTATTAGTTTTTATACCTATATTTTCTATGTTATAAATTCTTGATATAATTTAATAAAATGACTTTTGGCTTTACACTGTAGTTTTCCTAAAATATTCTTTAAACTCACCTGCAAAATTATTTGAATGAATTCGATTTTCAATAAATTGGCCCAATCCATTTTCATGTACATATATGCCACCAGTTTGTCCATGATGTATTTCACACTTAACAACAGTAGGATTTGCGCCAGCTTTCACTTCAAAGCCGGCTATTCTGTTGTTATGTATATCATTCTTTTCAAAATATCCCTTAAATATGAAGAAAATTTTAATTAATTGCTTTAATATATATTTAACAAGATATTTACTAACCATTCCATTTTCAAATGTAAAAATACCCACATCACGACCGTGATGGATATGATTTTCTCTCATTATTGGACTGGCATAATTTTTAACCCAAATACCTGCCAATGCATTTCGACTAATTTCATTGTGTTCATAAGTGCCCTGAGCATAATCAGTTACGTATAATCCTACATTTTCACAGTCGCTTATGTCACAATTCCTTATAACAGGATTCGCATTTACACCACCGACACATACAGCCGCTCCTACCACTGAAGAACTGCGGATTATGCAATTATCTACCGTAGGTGAGCAATTTTCTCCAATATCCAAACAGTAATGTTTGTGATGTGACACAGTAGATGTTACATCAGGAGAGAACTTCAGTGTTAGGTATCCAACATAGGCATATTTAGCACCTTCTACAAACATAACTGTGGAACCGGCTTCACGTTCCAGAATAACGGATTCTGCAACATTACCCGGGGCAGCACCAATAAGTGCTACATCGGAATCAATAAAAAGGTATTCTCCTTTATAATGACCAGTGTGCAGGAAAATTAATGGTCCTGGGTGCTCATTCGGTGGCACATTGTCTTCATATAAATTAGCTAACGCATTCACGCTCGCACTACCTGTAGGATTAGAAAGACCCGCTGTTACACCTCCTCCTGGTGTAACTGCTGCAGCTGCAGCAGCAGCGCGTTCTTCTGGATAATCCAGAGCTGCTTGAATTGTGTTAAAAAACACAATATTACGTCCTGAATATTTTTTATCCTACAATAATATATTAATTAATATTGTTTTTATATTGTGTTGAATTTTTTTTTATATTTTTACCTGATAACCAGGACGTACATGAACGCCTCTATAAAGCTGCCTAAAACTCTCCTTCCATGGATTAGTATATTCAATTTCTTCAGGTTTCTCAAATACAAATTTACATAGTTCTGGATTAAATAGAGGCATATCATATTCAAATACTGATTGATACAAACGTTTCCATAACTCAGTATCGTTTGCTATTGTATTAAAACGTTTGCAGACCAGTGATAATCGACATAAATCCTGCTCCATTAGATATGAAAATATTACCAAAAGCACCTCATCTGGCATTTCATATTGTAGATATTGTGCTGCTGTTGGACCCACTTGAGTACAGTTACTTGTGCCTATTGTAACATTTGCGATATCTGCACTTTGTGCATATAACCTTCGGGAACGTTTACGCGCAGGCAACATAAAATTGTTATCTTCTATGGCTGCAGCTCCACCTATTGGTAAAGCACTACAATGTTGCTGGGGTACAGAACTATGAACAGTTGGTGGTGGAGCTAGAGGTGCACCAGTTGTGTGAGCATTATTAACAGGAAATGTAGCACTAGTGGAAGGAGCATGTACTATTGCTGAGGATGACGATGCCGAAGCAGAGGATGTTGATGTAACATTTATCGTAGGCGGTGAAGTACAGATGGAAGATGATATTGTGCTGCAAGTACCTGTTAAAATTCCTGTATGTGATAAAGCATTGGAGCAACTTGATGATGCAGTTGTATTTGAATTGCACCATTGCTCATGGTTAGTGGCAGGTATTTTACGTCGCAAATCATACGGAGATTGATGGCAAAATCCTATTGAAGCAGCGGAAGATGTTGATGAATTACAAACTAAAAAAATATAATAATATTTTTGAATGAATTCTACTTCAGGGTATACATATTTGAATTATAAATATTGGTATATATATATATATATATATAGATGTCTAATGAGTTTGTTTACCTCCATTGTTTGAAATCATGGTAACATTACCAGTTGAATTAACATTTGATAAACCTGAAGAAATTATAACTTAATCAATTAATAATGGAAAACAAAATCTACAAACCTGTACAACTACTACTGCTACCAGCATCGGAATCAATTATTTGCGAATTTGCAAAATTCGAAACGGAAGAATTAAAATTCGATATACTAGGAATATTATTTTGGTTCGAAACTGATAAACCAATACTGCTACTACTTGATGAGGATCCAAAGTTACATAGGACTCCAATTTCACTTGACGATTGTGAGCAAGTCCTCGTTGATGCATTAAATAACTCAGACGACACTGAACCTGCTCCTGTTGAGTTTGTTAACACTGAATTCGATGGAGTTGATACCGCAACTAATGAAGAATTTGGAACTATAGATGAAGAGCACGACACCATGGTTGAAGATGCAACACATGCATTGTTTGAATTTGCTGGATTATTATTTTGTAGTGTCGAACTAGAACTAGAGGCTGCACCAGAGGCAGGTATATTTTGCAACATTGGATCCATTATATTACCTAAAGTTTGTAATTTTGTAATATATTATTTTAATTTGAATAAAAATAAATATTATTAATTACCTGTAGGGCGATTTGGTAATGCAATACGATTGGCACCTTTTCGTCTGGAACGGCGCACATAGGAGCGCGACGATGTAAATGAAGCGCTGGGCATTTTCTAAGCAGTTTTATAAATATTAGGATTTAGTATGGCAAATTTATTAAATTTTTAATTGTTTTTCATATAATATGCTTTCCCTGTTCGATAAACATTTCATCCCCATTCAAGAGTACAATAATCATACACATGTACCACTTAATATCGCACTTAAAATTTCTTAATTTTCTACTTTATTAAACTCTATGTTGTATGTAGTTAAAAATATCACACTTTTTATTATATACTATTTTATAAATTTATGTAAAAAAATTCTATTTATGTGGGGTAAAAAGGAGCTCAACATTTGGAACGCCATTTTCAATTTTTCATTAAACTTTTTTGTTCAACGTTTGGAGTCTTTTTTTATACAATACCAGTCCACAGAGGCACAAAATTTTTTATTTTGTATATTTATTCGTAGCCTTTTGTTTTCATCTCCGCTGTGCTTCCTTTAAAACTCTTTAGTGAAAACAGTACGGAATAGTTTATAATATAGCTTGCTTTGTTTTACTTATAATACTTGTGCAATAACATATTTTTTTGATGTATTTTCGTTGTTTGGCAGCTGAAAATTTTTTGTGTGCGGAAATTGTTTTCTTTACTATTTTTTATATTTCATTTCAGTTTTAATGATTTATATTAATTAATGAATTATTTAATAATGTTTTGCAAATATAATTATTAACTTTAATTGCACATTTAGAACTTTTCTGCAGAGGAGCTACTTTTCCGCACACAAAACCTCTGAGAGGAAAATAACACAGTGTTACCGTATTGAAATTATTACAACTTAATAGCACCCGTAATAAAACGGCAATATTCAGGAGCGTATTCAGTATACGAAAGAGTATCAATTACAGTAAATATAAGTTGCAATTATATGCTTCTAATAAGCATTAATAGCATAGAACAATAAAACATATATATCATGCCAAACTCGCAACAGCGTCAAAAGGAAATATTGCTTTAACGTAACATAATGACAACGTGTTTTGTTGTAAACTACATAATATGGTATAAAAATTTTTTTGGACAATTCTATTTATATAATTTAAAAACATAAATGTATTTAGCTAAAAATTCCATAACTAAATAAGACTATATGTAAATAAGGACCACAACAGCTGATTTGACAGTTCAAGTGGCATGCTGTGATTGCAAATACGCCACGCAATTGTTGTTGCTTACAATGCAAAATGCAGTGCTCTGTCAGTGACAAATTTTCAATTTGCATGAAAATCAACAATTGCGGTAACGTGATTACAATCATAATATGACCTCAAACAATTAATTAGTTAATTGTATTTTAATTAAACAATTGATACCCTATGGTGCGTTAGTTTCCTAAGTTTTCAAATTTCGATAATGCTTACAATATTTAACAAACATTGAACACTAAAACATCTAAAATATATTCTGCTCAAATTATGCATACTAACGGACCTATTCTGTGCACTTGACAGATTTGTCAAATTCTTTAATAAAATTTTTGATTTTTATAAAGCAGAAAGCTTTTTGGTATTCTGGACACATCTTGACAAATTTCAAAGCTCAAGTACCTAATGCTTCTCACCACACTATGGTGTAAAGTGTTTTGTATAGAAAACTGTTCGTAATTGTTAGTAAAAAATGCTTGTAAAGAGCACATATTTTAAGTTGTCAAAAGCATTTTTCATGCAGTCAAATAACAACAAAAAATATGCTTGTAAAAATGCTTAAAAATAGCATATTTTTATAGTTGTCAACAGCATTTATAGTATTGACAACTAACAAGGAAAAGAGCTATTTATTTATGTCACAGAATACCAAAACCTTTACAGCAGTCAATTTTGACAAGTGTCAATGTTTGACAAGTTTATCAAGTGCACAGAATAGGTCCGTAAATAAAAACCATGGTTTTTCAAAAAATCAAAGAGAAGATTATTTATTTGAATTAAAAATAATGCAATTAGGCGCTAAAAAATAATAAATAATAATAATAATAAAACATCTTTCAAACATTCATCGATTGATTATCGTCATATATTTTATTTTTTAAATATTTATTAAAATTAGTAGCTAACGACTCATTATAAACAATTGGAAAGTTATTGCCAATAATTTATTTACAATTAATTTTTGTAACCACTCAAACCAAGTCAATTATTATTTTACACACATATATTTTTTTTTAAATAGGTATATCAGTTATATAATTATAATCAACATATAATTCCAAATATTACTTTAAATTATTTTTTTAAAACGTTTAGACAAGCATATGATGCTATATGAATATATTTGCCGTTTAAATTTTTCTACAATTGTGTAGTAATGATGAACAATAATGATGTTTTATTCGTTTCGAATTTCTTAACTTCATTTTAGAAAAACTCTTAAACATATATAACTTATTAAAGAATGAATTTTTGAAGCTTCAGCTTATAGAAGTAAATTTGGCATATGAAATGTAATCGATTTGCTTATCTTTGTTTAAAATATGTACCATTTATATTTGACTTTTCCTATTCGCCACATGTTTTTAAAAGAGTTGAATGCATTTTTTAAATCCAGATCAGGACTGCCCAGACTAAACGCCTTTGCGGTCTAATACAAATCACTATACAAATTGGACAGCCGCAGAAACAAAGTCCACATTTTGAAATCATTTAATACTGTTTTTCCTCCAAAAACGCAAAAATGCTTCTTATATCATAACTTTACCGATTAAAGAGTTACGTCTAAATAGCCACTATGGAGAAAAATTATAAATGTCATTTCAGAAGTATTCTTTCCATTCTTTCCATTTGAACTCCGTTTAAGTTTAACGTTATATATTAATTAACTTATTGTCAAATATATCATGTGCATCATTGTGTTATTTATTGCATATATATAGCATGAAGTATATATTGTCATACATACACATAGTAGAAAAAGTCTACGGATATTCACAGAATTTTTCTTAAATTATGCATAACTTTTTTAATTTTTACTCAAATTCATTTTTATTTCCTGATTTATTTTAACCAAAGAAACAACAATAAAGTTCCAATATAAAAACTAAACAGTTATTCTTTAAAAAAAAATTAAACACAATTATGTGCAAAAGTAGCAATTTTTGAAGTAGAAAAAGTCTACGGATATTTCTTAATATTTACATTTACCGCTAATTTAAATTCGCTTGCACGCATAAAAGTGTCATTAAATGATATTTAATTATTAGTTGACTTCCTAAAGAGTCTAAAAATTAATCATTTAATAATATTTTTTTATATAAGCAATAAATTTTTACAATATAAAATAAAAGACGTGAAATTAGTTTTAGTGAGCGGCAAATAACTGTTAAATTTTAGAAAGATGACGTAAGCCAAAGAAAAATTGCTGAAGATATTGGTCGTCAATATTCATCTGTGCAGAGAATTACAAATAACTTCAAAGAGACCAGTACTTACGTTTCTAAACCTCGCACTCGCCGCCTCTAAATTCTGTCAAATAGAGAAAGAGGTAGCATAATCAACCAGGTGAAAGTAAATGCAAGGGTAACAGCCTTCAAACTAGCTGAACATATTGCCGAAATACTTGAAAACAAAATATGTCCTAAAACTCTGCGGAAAATTTTGAAGAAATGCATGTATTATACCCTGATTGCAGGAAAGAAGCCATACATATCCAGATATAATAGAATAAAATGATTAAGCTTTGCAAGAAAACATATAAATAAACCCATAAAGTTCTGAAAATGAGTTATTTTCTCCGATGAGAGTTAATTTTACATATTTTGAATCAAAGCTAGATAACTTGTAAGGAGAAAATTATGCACAACCTGTGATAAACAGTAAACAGTAAAACGTGTTGGTGAAGGCGTAATGATTTAAGGGTGTATAGCAAGTAATGGTGCTGTCAGACTTGAATTTATACAAGATACAATGGAGAAATATGGCTATCTAAATATTCTAAAAACAAATTTGAAAGAAAATGTCAGAATGTTAGGACTTGAGGCAACCTTTTTGTTTCAGCAGGGCAATGACTCTAAGCATACAGCAGTCATAGTACGGATTTGGATGCTGTACTATGCTCTCAGGCAACTTCAAACACTACCAGAATCACCAAACCTTAGTCCTATAGAACATCTGTGGGTTTATTTGGAAAATAAGATTCACCAGCATATGTTTTCCAGCAAGGATATAGCAAGAAACGTCATCAAAGAAGAATGGCTAGAAATAAACGCACAGGATACTGCAAAGCTAGTTGAGTCCATGCAAAGACGCTTAACAGAGGTTATTAAATGCAGGGGTTACACCACAGGCTATTAAATTTAAGATTTTTGTGAATTTTATTGTTTTAATGTAAATATTAAGAAATATCCGTAGACTTTTTCTGCTTCCAAAATTGCTACTTTTGCATATAATTGTGTTTAATTTTTTTTTAAAGAATAACTGTTTAGTTTTTATATTGGAACTTTATTGTTGTTTCCTTGGTTAAAATAAATCAGGAAATAAAAATGAATTTGAGTAAAAATTAAAAAAGTTATGCGTAATTTTAGAAAAATTATGTGAATATCCGTAGACTTTTTCTACTATGTGTATGTAAATAATATATAATATAGAGATTTTTTATTATTTGAATATCTAAATAATGATAAGATAATTATAAAATTTTATTATATATACATGGAATTATTGTGGTTTTATACAACCGCATAATTTTTATAAACATTTCAGCTTCTTTCTACTGAGAGTTTCTTTCTACATTATTTCCTATACATACCATCATGAAATTAAATGGGTATACAACATATTTATTAGAAACGGCGGCTAACTGTCTTTATATCACGGCTTAGTTTAATTAGATCTCTATGTTGTTTAAGTTTATAACGCTCAGCCATATCACGTAGCTCTTTGGGGACATCCTGTGCAGCTTCTTCTAAAATACGAATCAGTTCTGGCGTTACTGCCCAATCGGCACGGGAAATATAACTTATGGCAGTGCCAGTTCGCCCAGCGCGTCCAGTTCTACCAACACGATGAACATACTCCTCAATATTATGCGGAAAATCAAAATTAATAACATGACTAAATGAAAAACAATTAATACAACAAATTCGGTTTCAAATACTACTAAGCACTTACGTAATGTCCTCAATATCTAAACCTCTTGAAGCAACATCTGTCGCTATCAAAACCTGTATATCGCCTGACGCTATATCAGCCAGTGCTTGTTCTCGATCGGTCTAAAGACAATTTTTTTAAGTTTATAAGTTTATAAATTTTATGTTCTGAGACATTACTCTAATTAAGTTAATGCATTATGTACCTGATCACGAGAACCATGTATACATTGTGTGGACAGGCCTTTTAGAGATAAATCACTGGACAAATCGTCAGCACGAGCTCGCTTAGAACAAAAGATAATAACCTTATCGGTTGATTTAAGGTTTTTTAAAAATGCAAGGACCTGCAACAAGAATAAGTACATTGTTCTTCACAATTCTTCTTATTTAAGTTTTCAAATAATATTACCGTATTAAATTTGTCCGCATCCTCCAAGAGTTCTACATTTTGACTCACAGTATGAGTGGCAGTTAAATCAAGCGAACCAACACACACTTGAATAGGATTGTTCATATAACTTTCGGCCAATCTACCAACACTTGGTGGCCAGGTGGCACTAGTCATGACGGTCTGCCTGTCAGGACGTATCTCGAGTAGAATTTTTCGAATCTGTGGCTCGAAACCCATATCCAGCATACGATCCGCTTCGTCAAGTATTAAATATGTAACTGATGTAATGTCTATAACTTTAGCTTGAACCAAATCATTAAGACGTCCAGGAGTACAAATAACGCATTCAGCTCCTTCTTTGAAAACACTAATTTGGTCACGACGATTCCCACCACCATAAATGCATACACTGAATAAGAATTTCATAATTTTTTTCTTCATTCATTTTAAACTATGGTTTAACTATTTCCTAACTTACGCTTTTATTCCACGGAACGAGTACTTGTTAACTTCTTTTGCTATTTGTAATGCTAATTCTCGCGTTGGCGCTAAAATTAATATATTTGGACCATTACGTTTCTCACGTGGTGTAGTCTGTCCATCAGTATGAATCAAAGCAGGAAGCAGAAATGCTAAAGTTTTTCCAGTCCCTGTTTGGGCTATACCTATCATATCCTCGCCTCTCAATAATATAGGCCATGCTTGCTTCTGTATTGGTGATGGTTCATTAAAATTTTGTTTCTTTAACTCATCAAGGATATCAGGATAATCTTTGAAACAATGTTGAAATTTCCAAATTGGTTTCGGTATATCAGGACACATTTGATCTTCATTTGTCACCAAACGGGAAACACTTATATTATTGTTTAAATAACGCATTTCATTCACTTCTTCTTCTGTCTTAATAGCGACTTCCTCTACTTCTTCATAAAAATTTTTTCTCAAGTCTGGCAGATGCGCCCAGTGTAACCTACGATGTTCTTCCTGTAATCAAAAATGCCTCATGTGAGCAAAATAAATATGGTAAATCGATAACTTAAATGTAGATTTTAAAAATTTTTCTTACAACTTTTCTATTCAAAGTTTCCCAATCGATAGGCTGCAATACTACATGGTTTTCGGCGCCACCATTATATACATTTTTCGTAGGCGCATTTAATCTAATTCCACCACTTTCTCCCTAAATTAATTTTGTTATGAGATATTATATTAATATATATCCATATTCTCATTCTTTTTAATTTATACTTACAGATTTTGGAGCTGCAACCTGAATATTGTCATTTTCGGAAGAAGCATTAAAACGATTCATTGTATTTTCTTTTAATACAACTTTGGGATTGTGCGAGACTTCGTGATTTGGAAATGAAAAATTTCTATTTTCTTGACCAGACATAATATCACGAATATATTTGACTGCATCGTCAACATTTTTTCTATTACGACCCTTGACAGAAATTTCCTTGGTGTCATTGTTTATATGTATATAAACGTTGAAGTTTGTTCTAATTTCTTTAATTTTACAACCGCCACGACCAATTATGGCACCAATGTAAGCAGGGTCTGCAGGAAATTTCTCCATAAAATCATCAAAATGATTTAAGTTTGAGTTTAAAACTCCACACTCGTTCCTTTCAGATTGAGTTGCACCAGTTCCAAAAGTATCCATTTTGAAGTAAGCAAAATCTAAATAAAGGAATACCTGATTATTCCGTTTTCTATAAAACGAACCAAATTTCAAACATTCAAATCACGACCGCTTTTACGAACTCCTCAATCATAACATATGAAACGGTATTTAAAATTGACTATTAAAATTAAAAATATGTTTTTTAACATTGATTATTAGGGAATAAAGCAATTGCACTCTTATGTTTAAAGTATGTCGAAAATAATACTGCCGCCGCCTTCTTAAGTCTCATCACGCAATGATTCTTATATAAATATTTCAAATGGAGATTTTTTTTGCAAATACGTCACATAACCTTAAATATATGTGAATTGCAGTGATTTTTTTTTATAGTTAATTTTTGTTTTTTAATTATAGTTTTAAAATTCTTTAAATAAAGAAACAATGATTTCTTTAAAACTTTTTGTTTAATATGTGCATTATATTTGCAGTTATTTCTTGGAACAAGCAAAATTGGCGGCTGTTTCAAGTTCTTGTCGGTTGCGAAAACAAATCAAAAATTCTTAATACTATAAAATATTTTTAACAAGTTCCAGAATTAATTGAAAAAAGTTGAACATATATTCGAACTGAAGTCATGAAACACGTATCACGAATCACGAATTTTTTGGAGGAAGATACATACCAGCCTTAAAACCAAATCCAATTGAAAAGCACAAGCCGCTAAAAAACGATCCGACCACCGACTCGTCTCTTGCAAAAGTAACTAATGAAAAAGAAAACTTGTGTTGTTCTTTCAAAATTAATATAAATACATTTGGCAGCCCATTCACAGATTACTCGATGTAACTATATTTATTTGGCTTATGCTCTATAGTACATTTACACTAACGAAAATGATTTATCATTCGAAGAGCTTTCATATAAATAAGATGATTTACAATAAATCAGCTCATTTTAGACCAAACATGTTGAACGCAACCCTTAAAAATAAATTTCCTACAGGGGAAATGACCAAAATTTGAAGTATGTGTCATATATTTTTAAATATGAAATGTAAACAAACAACAGCTGAGCTGTAAACAAGTGAACTAACAAAATAAGCATTAAATAAAATCTGTTTTTATTAATTGAATATGAAATTGATATATAAAATGTATATATGTAAATGATTTAATATATCAGTCATATATTTAATTTTTTAGTATGATATATTATTAAGTAAAGTTAGTTTATTTTTAAATGTAAATTAAAATTTTTTGTATTCAAAAATTACATTTGCAATAGATATTTAAATAATTGATTTTAGATTTAATTAAATCAAATATTATTTTCAGGCACAAAAAATGAAGAGAAGCAGACACGCGTGGTCGAAAAGTACAGGGAGGCACTTTTTGGAATTATGAGAGGAAAGACATATATATTTGCAATGAGATATCCACGAAACTTCAGAATAGGGGTTTCACTTCGTTAAAAGTGTAAACGAAGGTCCACAACTTTACACAAAGGTTTAGGTAAATATTTAATAATAATAATACATTAAAACTGTTTTGTTTTTTATTATGTTACTTACTTTCATATACCATAATAAAAAAGATTTCAATGTAATTTTGTTAATATTGATTATTCTTAATCAGAAAAGAACAGTGTGTTGGAGTTTCTATATATACTTCTATATATTAAAGAGATTTCTAGACAATTTGCTCATACATAACACTACAAAATTAGTGTTTGAAAGTATTGTAGGTGAGTTTTCACAAATTTGTTTAAGTTCTTCAAAATAATGAATGTGTTTATTAATTAGATTAGGGCCCATCATCAAATGCTGCATCGTTGCTGTCACCATGATCATTTCTACGTCCATCGGTAGTTCCAATATCCACGTCTGAAGATTCTGAAACACCTGCAAAAAAAAGACAATTTAAATGACACCTTTTTAAAAATTTCAGAATCGGATGTATGTAAAGAATCATCACATCGAGCTGCAAGGTATTTGAATTTAATGGAAGAAAGCAATGTTACTTCGTCGTATATTGCGTCATCAATGGAAAAAGGCTTTTTATATAGAGTTTTTCACACTTCCTGACAAAATAGTTTCAGTCAAATGCACACGGTTGACTGCCAACGCCAAACCGATTTACTAAGCGAGCCAAGGCAATACAACCCAATGGCAATTCTCTTTTCTAAAGAAATGGAAATCCGAAAGGTTGTATCTTTTATTCTGTAGTCCTTTCAACAATTCACATAGATCCTTAATACATTCCAAACTCATACGAATATTTTCTTTGAAAAAATTTGGACCATTGTTTTGGCAATCCACTTCCCAGAATTTCTTTGTTCTTTTCTGAAAAAAGAAATGTTACTACTTTCATCGTTGCTCATGCTGGTAACTTTGGTCGTATTTATATCTGGGAATCTTGAACGCTCTTCTCTCCCGTCATATACTTCGTAATGCGTGATGGGAGTGTGTTTTAGCTTGACCGACCATTCATTCGCGTTAAGATTGGGTACGTGGCCAATATTATTGATTACACTTGTTGTGGTACCCCCTATATACACATTTGGAGATAGTTCCGTTTTTTTCAGCAATATCTCTCCCATACGGAAGTTAACCTTTGCCGGGACTATTTTACCCGATCTGACCGGTATCGAAATAGTGCCAGCTATACAAATTTGCTCACTATCTTCTCCTATAATTAGGGGTATTTGTGACTATTCACCCCATTTATAAAGCTAACTTTTTTGTTTTTGGTGTCCAAAATGGCCCTGTTCCACAATCCGTCCCTTCCTATTAGTTCTTCTGCGGGGATATCCGTTCCTTCCGGGACGACGTGCATCAAAAATTGTAAATGAGGCATAGCTTATGCTCTATTCTGACCTTGCCTGACCTTCGCATAAGTCTTTCGACTCGTTCTAGCTTTTAAGCTTACCTTTAAAGCCCCTAGGACTCTTCCATATTAAACGAACACCACGGAAAAGAGCCATATAATCATAGTATTGATAAATTTAACTAATTTCCCAATTATGCGTTTCCTCTAGATTGATTGTGTATTCCTTTCCAACTCCTCCTCTTCCTCATGCTGTAATATGACCAATTTCTCTTGAAACTATACTTATTTGTTTACTTTCTCTTTTTCTGGGTTTATAATGCATTGTATACTCGCACCTTGAGAAATTATTGTGAAAACCTTATTGACCGTTGGTGATACCCCTAACGGTCAATACTCCACTACCCATATTAGAACCCCGAAACTGAGGTCTTGACGGTGGGTTTGCTGCGTTTCTATGATTAACATATTTCCCTCGGCGCTGGCTACTACCTGATACCGGATATTCGCGGAATCTTCTTTGAGAAAATCTGAGCTGACAATCTTTTCTCCCAAAACATTGCTCGTCTTGTAGTTCCCTTTTACCCTACAGTAAGGATTATCCTCGTGACCGTTTATTTTACACGTTTTACAGAAAATATTGCGCAACCTCTTAAAGCAGTTTTCCTCTCTGTGTCCTAATTTATCGCAGAAGTTACAAATTAATCTGCCTTGGTTGTTAGGCCTTCTAGCGGAACCTGATGTTTCTCCCTTGGTACATGCCGGTCCAACCTAATGTTCATAAGTGCCACATTTGGTGTAATATGAAGTAATATGACGCTAGCGACACTC